TTATAAAACAGGGAGAGGACATAACCACATCACTAAAGGAGACACTAAGATAGCCAATAAGTGCATAAAGGTATCTGTAAGACCATTAGTTATTTAAAACCCATTGCTGTTGAATCCAAATCATTTCATAGCTGGTCCTCCTATGGGAATATGGAAGAAAATTGCCCATCTTTCTCCTGTGGAGCCACTGATGCATTTGAACCAAAAATGCACACCTCTACTACGTATTAGACCACACCAGACATATTATTATTGTTGTAATTGTCAGATACGATCAAGTCTAATATAACTCATAATGACCCTATGAACCACAGACCTAAACCTTACGTTGTCCAGTGACATCTTCACAATCTCGGATACACGATTATTAGATTCACTATGTCAAACAATTTTATGGAAAGTCCTCCCTTTCTCTGACCCTCCACCTTTTCAAATGGTGACCGGAGGGAGCTGAGCCCTCCTGACAACCTATCCAAAGTATCTGAGGTGATGTTTCACATTCTTGCCTCTGAGGAGCCCGCTGGTTGCACTTCTTCCAAGGCATGTATCTTTGTTCTTTTGGCAGTCCATGCGATATTCTCCAACATCACAATTCAAAGACATTGAGTCTTCTTCTATCATCCTTATTCACTGTCCAATTTACAGATATGTTAGGCAGTAATTGAAAATACCATACCTTGAAACAGGCACACTTTGATGTTTAAACTGATATATTTGCTATTTAGCCCTTTGGAGAAGTCATCAACCTCAGATTTTCTCAGTGAAATATGGGTTCCGGTTTCTTGACTACTGTTACCATGAGTGCTGGATGTAGATCCAAATAAGATGAAATCACTGAAAACATCAAGCTTTTCTTCATCTATCATGATGTTGCCTGTTCTTCCAGTGAAGTTACAAATGAGATATCATCTTACTCCATCAAAAATAGTATGTTTAATAATACATGATATGAAAAATGTTGGTGAGGGTATGGAGAAATTGGAATTTTTTTACACTCTTAGTGGAAACTGTCAGATCATGGGTTGGACAATGGAAGATATTTTCTGAAGGGACTCGGTAGATGAGAAGGGTTATCCTGGTGGAGGGTGGAGCTGGGAAGTAAGTGGGTAATGGCACTGGGCTAATGG